CCATATCGACATCGGTGTTCCACAAATGTGAAATCGTCTTTTCGGAGCCTAATGCCTGGTGAAATCGTTATTTAGAAGCCTTGCATTGCTGAGCACTGCAATGCAAAACCTCATGTCATGACTAAGGACACCACTTCTCCAGGAGACCCAGAACAACTTTACTCAGTTACGATGGGGTCCGCGATGGGGGGCCACGAGCTACAATGGGGGATCGGGATACGGATTGGGATAGAGGTATGGGCATAGGGCTAGGGATAGGGATACGAACATAGGGATAGGGATCGGGATTGACCCGTGGATAAAGTATGGGGGTATAGAAAAGATAGGGTACGGATAGAGATGCAGGGGTTGGGACGGCAATCGGGTGCAAAAGGAGGCAACGGGAGGCCACGGGAAGCAACGGGAGGCCACGGGAGCACACGGGAGGCCACGGGGGACAACGGAAAGCAACGGGAGGCAACGGGAGGCAATATGAGGAAATGGGAGACAACGTCGCCCCCCCGATTCTGGATCCGGCCGGCAATTCACTTACAAGTTTCTTCGAGTCTTCCTCTTCCTATATGTTTGAAGCCGGGGGGCGTGGGAAAGCCGACCCCCCCAAAGAACACCCCTCGAAAACCGGGGGGGTCACTACCGGTTCGAACCCCCCCCCCCTCCTCGAGAACCAAGGGGGGGTGCGGACAGTGGTGGGGACGGTGGTGGTGGGGACAGTGGTGAGGGGACAGCGGGACAGTGGTGGGGACAGTGGGACAGTGGTGGGGACTGTAGTGGTGGGGACAGTGGTGAGGACAATGGTGGGAACAGTGGGGACAGTGGACAGTGGTGGGGACGGTGGTGGTGGGGACAGTGGTGTGGTGGAAACAGTGGACAGTGGAGGGTACAGTGGTGGTGGGGACAGTGGTGAAGGCGGTGGCGAGGACGGCGGTGGGACAATGGGACAGAGGTACAGTGGGGACAGTGGCGGGGACAGTGGGGACAGTGGTGGGAACAGTGGGACAGCTCAGTGGGACAGCGGAGGAGTCAGTGGGACAGTGGGGACAGTGGGGATAGTCGGGCAGTGGTTGGGGCCGTGGAGAAAGTGGGGAGAGTGGAACCGTGGTGGGAACAGTGGTGGGGACAGTGGGGACAGTGCGACAGTGGTGGGAACACTGGTGGGGACAGTAGGGACGGTGGTGGAACCAGTGGGGACAGTGGTGGTGAGGACAGTGGTGCTGGGAACAACAGTGGGGGATGTGGCGCGGACGGTGGTAGGGACCGGGAGTCGTTTGCTGGCGGTGAGTGGGGGGATGGGGAGGGGTTCGAACCGGTAGTGACCCCCCCTCCGGTTTTCGAGAGGGGGGGGGGCGGGGGGTTCGAACCGGTAGTGACCCCCTTCGGTTTTCGAGGGTGAGAGGATGGGGGGTTGGGGGAGGCGGGGGGTTTTGCCGGGGGAGGGAGGGGGGGGGTCCAGCAGGGTGGGGGGATTTTCGGAGGGGGGGGGGACCCCCGGGCTCTGGAGGAAAAGGGTGGCAATTTTCCACAGTAGAGCGGCGGTGGATCACGCTTTCTCGACGATCAGGATCATGATGAATCTGATAGCGCCGATGACGACAGCGACGACAATGACAATGGCGGCGGCGACCGAGATTGTGCAGAGGATTGGCGGCGCCCACAAGGGGATGGTGCGAGGGGTGTGGGCTTCTCGGGAGGCGGCGGGACTTCAAGAAGGCATGGGTCTTCCCAGAAGGCCCCAGAGGCTTCCAAGAAGGCCTCTCGGAAGCCGCGCGGGCTCTCGACGAGCCCCCGCCTGCCTTCTCAGAAGCCCCCCCCCGCCTCCCAAGAAGGCTTGCCCCCCCCGGGCCATCCCCTCGTGAGCGCCGCGAGGCTTGCACTGGGGGGAAACGGGAGGAGGAAAAGGAGGAAGACGAGGAGGAAAAGGTTCTGAGGGACACGGGTCCTGGACTGTGGGGCCTCCCCCCAGGACGAGTTGTTCCTCTCGGTCTGTTCTCTGCAAGCCGCGGGGCCCGCGCGTGGCCCAGGGAGGCAAAAAACACGGAGAAACGAATCGGCACCCGTTTCCCTTCGGGGCCCAGCCTCCCCCACGGCGACGCAGAGAGACAGCGCGTGCGGGGGCAGACGGGGCCAGGCCGGGAGCGCAGGGGCAGCCGCGCCGCCGCGCCCAGGCCGCCGCGCTCTCCACCGTGCCCCGCGGCGGGGCCCGAGCGTGGCTGCTGGGCGCCACGCTCAACATGGACGCGACCACGCAGCGGTCGCAGGCGCACCGCTCTCGGCACCTGCGCGCGCCCTTTCTGCCATTCTTCGGCCACGTGCAGTGGTGGGGGGGAGGGGGGAGGGGGGAAGGCTTGTTAGAGGCACGCCTGCTTCTTGGAAAACCTCTCCCCCCTCCCCCATAGGGTGTGAGCGAATTCTAATCTCTAACCCCAGGCGTCAGCAGCAGCAGCAGCGCAGCAGCCAAGAGATAGGCAGACGAGGCCGCCAATGGCAAGGCATTTCAGCTCAAGAATCACAGATCCCAGGACAACGACGGTAAGCATGGTTGTTGCGCCAGGGCGCGAGAGACGATGTCCGCAGAGATAGTGATAGATTGAGGCATCCGCGTCGAAAGCCACGCGCCGGAATCTGCACGCGGTTACGGTGACCTCGATGCACCAGCACGTTCGCAGACCCAAATTTGTTAACAGCTCTCTCCACGTGCTGGCGCCACGCTTGCAGGACCTTGTCGTTCGAGCATGCCTCGAAAGCTTGATCCACGTCAAGAGTTGGTGCAGCCAGTGTGCCGTCCATGCGGTGACTGGTGACTTGCACGATGGCCCGTTCGGGCCCTGCTTCATGGGTGGTTTTGATCCACCCAGAGAGAAAGGAGTACGAGTATGTGGATTCCACATACTCGTACTCCTCACCCACCAGGGACCAGGACATCGCATGACAATTAACGCTATTATGATCAAACGAGTGTGAGCGCCTGAAAGTTTCAGCGCTTGCCTCAGTATTACCACTGTTGGCGATTCTGCAATATCATATGTAGAGGTTGTGTGTGGTCAGATATTTCACTCATCATTTTCGCGTGCATGCGTTCGTTTAAATGCATGTGCATCGTATGTGTCCCAAGTTCCTCCTCCGTCGATGCTTGCTTCGTGATTTTATGTGAACTCAACCATGCTGCTATCACGAGTCCCAGTGGGACTTGTGATAGCAGCATGGTTTAGTTAACATAAAATCCCAGGGCGCTCTGACTCGTTAGCTAAGCCAGCAAAAAGTAATGAGGAGGGGAGGAGGAATAGGGAAGAGAGGAGGGGGAACGAGAAAAAAAGAGGAGGAAGAGGGGAGACAGGGAGGGGAAGGAGGAAGAGCGGGCAAGTAGGGCCAGAACAGAGGAGGAGGGGGGCAACGGCCCGCGCCCTTGTCCGAGAGCTGGCCGCTCGGGCCAGTCCAGTCGTCGCCGGGCTCCGGCCAGTCGCCCGGCTCAGGCCTGCGGCGCCGGGGGAATCCCCTTCGCCGTTCCCTCTCCCCCTCCCCCTCCCCTCCTCTCCTCATCCTGTCACTCCTCCTTGTCCTCTCATCCCTTCTCCTTCTGACCCCACTCCTGCTCTTCCCCTCTTCCTTCCTCCTCCATCCGACTCCATCCCCTCCCTCCCCCATTTCCTCCTCCTGCTCCTCCTACTCCTACTCCTACTCATACTCCTCCGTCATCTTCAACACCGGTCTTCAATCCTGTTGGCTTGGACCTTGCTCCTGAGAGCCTTTGCGGTCGTCGCGCAGCGTGACGACCGCGAAGTCTCTAAGGAGCAAAGACTCACGCTGACCCAGGACCCAGGGACATCCGCGCGAATGACGAGGTCCCTGTTTTTGCCAGCAGCACCCCAAGTTGCATCGCTGCAAGGCGCAGGCTAAGACATTAGACTCATCTGTCGTCCTGCCGTTCCTTCTTCACTCAACTCCTCATCTGATCTCCCCCCTCTTCCGCCTCCCCCGTCCCCCATTATCTTCTCCCCTGCTGATCGCGCAGCTCGCGCACAGTAGCAGGCCGCCACTAGATGAGAGCGAGGATGCCTCCATCCTCGAGGTGTCCTCCTTCATCTCCATGAAGAGCTTCGTCGCCTGGTCGAAATGCTCCTCAGCGGCTCCCCCTTCGGGCACATCTCCACGACCATCCAGCCTGTTGGCACGTAGAGCAAGCTCTTGGCGACCCGAATCGTCTTGCGAGCGGTGATCCCAGCATCCACGGCCTGCTTCAAGCCGTCGCCGATCAGGTTGGCGAACGCCTCGATGGTTGCTCCCACATCGCCAGGCACGTGGATCTTCTTGATGACCTCTGGGCAGTCCTCCTTGAGCATGGTGGCGAACACAGTCGGCGTATCCTCCATGAGACAGTCAGCCTTGCCAGCTGCGAGAAGACGCATCAGGGAGGCACAATTAGGCTTGAAGTCCGTCCACGTCATCTTCTCCTTGAATCCCAGCTTCCAGATCGAGTTCACGAAGGCGGAGCCGCCATCGACTGCGCTGATGTCGACCGTAGGTGGCTTCCACTTCTCGAAGAAATCCGTGGCCTCAGTCAGGCCGTTTTCCGCCGCCTTTCCATGTCCATGTAGATGCTTCTGGCCCCGCAGATCCTGAGTCTTGCTGAACTCGGTCGCCCACGCGGTCAGCTCCTTCTGAATGCCGGGGCTGCCGGAAAGGAGCGTATGTCGTCGGTCTTCTTTACCACGAACGGCATGTTCCAACTCATCGAGTCGTTGACAGGTACTTCGGCGACTGTATCAGCATCTTCAACATGACTCCAGGACGCAAGGAAGATCGGCTTCACCGCCAGGGCATTTGGCTGAAATGGTTGCTTGACCGTGGCCCTGATCGCCGCTGCCGCCTGTGCTGCCTCCTCTTTCACTTTCTTGAGGGCATTCGCCTGTTGTTTCTTCTCCAGGTCCTTCGCCTCATGTTCTTGTCTCTTCCTCTTCTGAGTCAGGTGAGACTCGATGTAGCCGCACGTCGTCTTGACATATGCATTCAGCTCAGAGGCGATGGCGAGGCATTCGTTCCACGTCTCGACGAACTCGCCAAGCTCGTCCGACGTGTTGCAATTCCAGACGTCTTCCTCGCACAACGTGTGCATCTCATTGAGCGACTCGATCTTCGCTGGGTCGCCTGCGAACGGCTTCCTGGCCTTCTCCCTCTCGGCGAGATCTTGCAACGAGATGCTCTGCATGTCCCTGTCGGGCAATTGGGCTGGCTGGCTGCCCGAGCCGGGTGTCGAAGGATAACCATTTGCTGGCGACGCCGAAGCGGCATTGCCATTGTCCATCGAGAGATTGAATAGCTTGATGACGTTGTGCAGGCCCTTCCGCTTGACGGTGAGCTGCCAGCGAGTCTGGAGATTCCTGATGTGCGATACCAAGGGCTTATCGTCGTTCGTCTCAGTCACGGGGGTGGGCTGTAGACGCTTGGTGATGTCGTCGACCCTGCGCTGGTTGGCGGCGAACGCGGTGTTGAGCTTCGCGATCTCCGTCGCCATGTTCGCGTGGATCTTCGGGCAGTCACGCTCAGGCACGTAGAAGACCTTGTGCGATGCCTTCCTCTTCTTCCCAGAAGCTGACCCAGCCTCGACGGTAGACTTTTTTTGACAGACATCTCATCCAGGGCGTCCTTCCTCTTCAGCACTCTCTGCAACTCCAACTTGTTCGAGAAGAACGAGTCAGCAGTCGAAGCAGACGACTCCAGGACAAACTCCTTGATCTAGGCGGCTTCGCTCTCAGACATGTTCTTTTGCTCCGATCCCTTCTCCACGAAGGCGCTCTGGGCGGGCCTGCGGCCCCCCCGCCCCCGTTCAGGTCCGACGGGAATCCAGAGCTGCAATCGACCCCATGTATCCTCTGTTATCCCGGTCGATCCTAGGGTTTTCCTCGAGCTCCTGCCACCGCCCTGACTATTCTAGCCCTGTGAGGCGCAAGACGTTTTGGCAATGGCAATGAAATGCTTGTCGGATCATCGGCTTGTCGAGGTCCCTGTTGGTGCTGAGTGCGTCGCTGCTGTGGGATTTCTGAGACTGTCTCGACTGGGTGAGGCTCTTCCTGGCGCACTTCTCGTCAGCAGGGTTCGCCTTCGCGAGCTGCCAACTTGAATGTCCCATCGGGTTGCGTTGAGGGCTCCAGGGTGGCCCAGTTTTCCAGCTCGATCTGTTGGGCCCCAGAGAACATGCCCCGCTTGTCAGAGACATGCGTTCGCCTGCCACTTGGCCCCCCTGGAACACCTGCGCAACCCGATGGAACATCCAAGTTGGCCCCGACACCTGAGCAAACGCATGGATCTTCTCAGCCATGATGCTGTCGTCCTGTTTTGCCTCCTGCGGGCGGTCACCGTCAATCTGAACACTGCGCGCGACCCCTGTTAACAAACGAAAACAAACGGCCCGTCCCCGAACGCAGCGGATTTTGAAGCGACGATTTCAACAGCTCGCTCCCACCACTCGGCCTTCGTCTCGTCCGTGGCCGCCTTGCCCCTGATCATCTTCCACTCCGGCGTGTCGTGGCAACGCTTGTGGAGCTCGCAGAATTTGCAGTGGCCGATGCGCGCCATGGCGCAGCAGATGCACGTCTCCACCAGGTCCGCCACAACGGAGGCTGCTCCTCCTCTGCGGCCGCGGCCGCGACCGCGGCCGCGGCCGCGCCCGCCCGTTGCGCCCGGCGACGGAGTGTCATGGCCCGAGCCCAGTGCGACCGCGAGCTGCACCTCCTCGTCCTCCACGGCGGCTGCGCCGACCGAGTAGCAGGTCGGCGCGGGCGGGCCTGGAAAGGGCCTCGACGATCTGGAGTCCAGTGCGTGGGCCAAAAGGTGCAGCGCCACGGTGACCCGCGGTGTTCGATGGTATTATTTAGGATGCCCCCCTCCTCCTCTGCGACAGAACGCTAAGAATGAAGCTTGTTCGCGGCGCCGTTGTTCATCCTCCGTCGGGCTGCGGCTGCTTTCGAGAGGGGTTAACCCGGGTAACTGAGACGGGGAAGAGGATGATGGGGGCGAGGGGGGCGACGCTAAGGAGAACGCGCCGCAGGATGATGATCCCTTTGCCCTCCCCCATTATCTTTCCCGCCCTCGTCTGCGGCCCATCTATCAGAATATATCTTGGGGCCCTGGGCGATCCACAGTTGAATCCGCAGTGTCAGAAGCTGTGTTGGCACACGTCCGAACACCGAACAATTCTATCAGTTTCGATTGGGATCAGCATGTCAGCGCCGTCTTCTTTCTTCCTCAACCATTGGACAGTTCT